GTATAGTCTTTAGCGACGAATCCCGCTTCCAACTGTGTCCTGACGATCATCGAAGACGTGTTTGGAGACGCACAGGGCAGAGGGGGGATCCTGCCTTCCCTATTGCACGCCACACCGGCTCTTAGCAAGGCATTATGGTCTGGGGTGCTATTTCCTTTGACAGCCGGACCCCTTTGGTCGTCATTAGAGGTACACTTACTGCACAGCGGTACGTCGACGTAAGACCTGTTTTGCTACCGTTCCTTTTGCAGCGCCCTGGGCTGGTTTTTCAGCTGGACAATGCCAGACCACGTACGGCACGTGTTGCTATGAACTATCTGCAAGCCCGGAAGCTTTATCGGTCTATGCCACGCCGGGTTCTGAATTGTTCTGAAATTTTAATCATTCACTATTCTGTACATTGTCTTCCTATCCACCAATTTTCGTTTCAATCGGACAACTCCTTCTTGGTGCGTCGATTTTTTTGTTATAGAGTGTATATCTAAAGTCTTATATCTACATCTGAATCTTATATCTATATCTGAAGTAATATTATTATATCTATCTTAGTTATATCTAAAATATTGTAATGTTCTATTCAAGAATGACAAAAACATATTAGGTTGCTTTTCTTTTTCTAGAAGAAGTAACGGTAACGACGACAGAGCAACCGCAGCTGTTGGACGATTGCCCTTGCGGCTGTGAAAAAAATGCAACTGACAAGATTGTCCTGAAAGCTGTAATTCAAAGATGCGATTCGGAAGTATCATATATTATGCACGCTTGGCCATCAGGGCATGTAGTTGTTAACATATTGAGTGTTGCATTTCCAACTGATAATTACTGGCTGATTATTAGGGATGGAAAATCACCACTTGGTCCAGTTCTTGCATTGATGGAAGATGTTACTGCGAGTAATTCAATCCATTCTATAACGCGCACAATTCGACTTGAAATTCACGTCAGTAACTCTACTACACTGCAAGAAGTAGTCCTTGTCTTCTCAGTTATGCAATCAGGTATATTTTTAGAATGTTTGAAATATTACTGAATTATGAGTTTATAAATGTATAATGTGCGTAATAAATAAATATATAAATAAATAAATAAATGAAATAAATAAGGAAAACTGCCCTTTTGACCCAATGATTGGATATTTACGTTCTAGTACTCACTCTTAATGGTTCGAGGCGGTAACCAAAAATATATTAATTAATATTACNAATAAATAAATAAATAAATAAATAAAATAAAGAAAACTGCCCTTTTGACCCAATGATTGGATATTTACGTTCTAGTACTCACTCTTAATGGTTCGAGGCGGTAACCAAAAATATATTAATTAATATTACATAACTCACACAATTCGGCTAGAAATTCACGTAAGTAACTGTATTACACTGCAAGAAGTAGTCCATGTCTTGTCAGTTATCCAATCAAATATATTTTTAGAATATTTTAAATATTATTGGAGTATGAGTTTATAAATGTAAAATGCGCCCCAAAAAATAAATAAATAAAAATAAATAAATATTTACGTTCTAGGACTCACCTTTTATGGTACGAGGGGGTGACCTCAAATATGCAAATATTTTAAGTTACGAAATCAGACACAAAAACACACTTTCTTTGAATAAACATACCTTTTTTTTTGATGGATTTGGATTTCTGACTCCCAAAATATAAGGGGTAGCCACAGTCTGGGAAATATGGTCCCAATAGTTTGGCCCGGAGAGCTGTCCGAAGTTTGGACCCTTTAATGTTAATTTTACTTTTTACGTATTTTTTCATAATTCGGAAACGTTTTAAGCAAATTAAAAAATTTTTGCACGCAATTATAAAATTCTTTTATCCAAAGATAATTCTATGTAATAGATAACTTTTAATAAGTATTTATCATTTTTTATTATTTTATTTGGTATAAGTCGAAAAATTTTTGAATGGTAAGGTATTAAAATTTTTTACATTATTTTAAAGAATATGCTTTACGTGGAAAAATACAAAATTTTAGTGAAATGAGTAGAACAGTTCCTGAATAATCAAATATGCTTTACGTGGAAAAATACAAAATTTTAGTGAAATGAGTAGAACAGTACCTGAATAATTAAATATGCTAACAGTACCTGAATATAAAAGCGTGATAGCTTTTACAAAATGATAAATTTGTAGTAGCATTCTTAGCGTAAAGATGGCGCCACTGAGAAACAAGAAACGCACCTTCCGCCTTAAATTCGCTTGGTTTCACCAAGCAGGCTTGCTGGTATTGGCAAGTGACATTAGAGACAACAACAACATGTGATAAATTAACTAATTTACCTATTTGAAAAATTTTAATAGTGTGTTTTTGATATTTAGGAGGGAAGTTGAAGAAAATTATAATGAGAGAAAAAATAAAGCTTCAAATGAAGCAGCGTTATTTAGTGGTTATAACCATTTTTTAATTTTTTTTTAAATAGTTGCTTCTATTGGCATTAAAGTAGTTATCAGATATCTGGAAAAAAATGAATGATAACAGATTTATTTGATTTAATATGCCTTATTATGTATTTTAAATGCGAATTTTAATTTTTCAGAAATACCGAGAGAAAGTTTAGCAATGGTTCGTCATCATGAAAAAAGTATCAGCATTTCAAGTAATTTATCAGCCGTCCATGTTACAATAATTATGTTAGCTACCGTCCTTTTTTCAACAACTGCCGTTTTAATTTTGTTCCATTTCTGCCGCTACATGAGAACCAGTAGCATTTCTCAAAACACCCAAGCACTTGATAGTCCTGAACTATTGACGTCCACTTCGGAATTGTCCATCAAATCTCCGTCCATTGGTCCAGAAGACTACCTTTACAATAGTTTTATATTTCGCTCATCTACATCTCTTCAACCGAGGCTCAAATGGGACAAACTACCTCCAAAAGTAGACGTAGTTAATACCGCATCACCAGTTCGAAGACGTAGTCGGCCCATCATAAAGAATGCTCAGAGAGAAAGTGCCACACCATTGACAGCTTCGGTTTCAGAACTTTCAACAACAGGCTCAGATGATGGTTTAGAATATGATTATTATGATTATGGCTGTCATCAAGAACCAGGTTCGTTCTTTTGTCCAGACCCTGTACTTATGGGATGGCCACCATTCATACCTTTGCCACCTCAAGGAATAGAAGAATTTGGTGATTATCCATTGCAGAATTTTACACCATCACCAGAACCTTCGTGATCTTAATAACAAAATCAAGGAGAGAATTGTTTCTAAATGTTTTAAAATCTAAATGTTAAGTGGTTAGAAAACTCGTAACTCCATTTGTTTCCAATATTGATATTAAATGTAAAGTAAAGCGTGCGTCGTATTAAAATAGTTTATCAGGAATTTCAAAAAACATAAAGGTGGTAGAAAAACTGAATTATTACTTTTGCGATCATGTCAAAATTTGTAATAAGTCTAAGTGAACGCACTGAGCACTCACTTTATTATGAACACATTTATGCAAATGAGCAATTGCGTCACACTGTTGCCGCCAGAGAACTAGTATAGTACTAGCTTGTTTTAGGATTTTTATTTTTTGTGCCTGGTATTCTGAATAATACACCACACCCAGGCATGTTTAATGAATACGTTCGGTAATGCAAATGATTTATATCAATAAAGGAAAGGATAATGCATGTTACAAAATTGTCGGTATAATAAAATATTAGATTAGGGCTTAATTTCGGCTCCTAAATCATCACCTCCTACACCAGAGTGTCTCCCCACGGTATTTTATACGTAGTCCGCGCAGATTATTTAAAAAGTGATTCAGTTGTGCGCATGAACCCAAATTCTATTTGAAAAGTAATTGAGAGAAATTTTTCAGGCTTTTTCTTAAACTGATTTACTTTTATAGCGATCTGATCAGACTATTTATAAGAAACCGTGTCGAGTGGTTGTCCTAGTATTCCCACTCAGATGAATTAGTTAGAGCTCCTCTCGGGGCTGATGCTAAGATAGCTACCACATAAGAGATATGAGTTGGCCCAGTCGTCCCTCAAAACTAATATAGTGGTATAAAAAATTTCATTATATAATTTATTTCTCTTTTAAAAAAACATTTCTGTTCACCTCAATAATTCAATAACTGAAACACATAAAATGAGTTATGTAATGGAAGGGGCAAAATGTATATATAACATTTAAGTGGTTACTGAACCAGGTGAATATCCCCTGTTTAAATAATAAGTATGCCACTAAAACAATTTTGACGGACCACTGGAAACTTCAGGTATTAGGAACAAAACAGTTTAAATTTAATTACATCGACAGTAGAATACTACAAAAAGAATTTTAAAACTTTACTACAGGTGAAAGGCTTCTTAACGAGAAATTAAGATTGCCCGCTCAGTGTACATATAATTGCAAAATCTAAGTACTTATTTATTTATTTATTTGTAAAAAGACAATGAAAAGGAACTTACAACTGATTTATTATAACGTTGATACCTTTTCTATTTAATTTTCAAAGACTGGACAAATTCTGTTTCATAGTGGCCTTTTTTTATACGTTTTTCCAACTGTTCTGATTTTTTATAAATTTTTTTTTAAAGTTTCGCACAAAAATGAGTCTAACTTTCCCCAGTATTGATAAACATCACAGCATTGACTGTCTGTCATATATATATATATATTTGAATTATATGGGATCGGGGGCTCTTAAAAACGCATTTTAAATTTCAATTTTTTTTATCAGAAAATGAAACAGCAAAAGCATACATTTTGCTTCTACTTGAAAAAATCTTTCACAAATAATCGTGAAACTTAGCATCTATGTTTTGCATAAAAACGTTTGAAAGTTTTTACATATGGAAGTTACGAGTTATTCTAATTAATAAGACAAAATATGTTTATTATTGTAGTAGATTTTACCACCAGAGATTTTATTGTTTTATTGTAGTCATAATCTAGTCACATTATTACATATCATATTAGATAAAAGAAAGTCATTCTTTATGTATTTGTTAATGTGAGTCATATAAACCCTTTGCACACCCTTTGAGTAACTGTTGTTAGATATGCGACATTCACAATCAGGAAATTTAAAACTTTTTATATCTTAATGTTAAGTAATCTTTTTTCTCATGACTCTTAAACTGAGAGTTTCCACACGTCTTTGGCTGCTCAGACGAAAGTAATTTGTTCACAAGTCGTCTTTGTTTAAAGAAATGTGTAAGGATAGCAAAAATCAAAGCATAATGAAACCTGTGTAGTTAGCTACTTGTGTTGAATTGCTTTAGTAGTCAGATTAGACAGGTGGTCAACTTATAAAGGTGGATAGGTCATTGTTTTTCTTTTTATAATTTCTAATACCATGTTTTTCATATATTTTTTTATATATTACACGTTTCGCTGGCGGCAATGGGGAACAATCTTTTTTTTTTTTTTTTCTGTTGAATGATATTTTCGCGTCACTGATTTCAAATTTGCAATCAGTTTTTTTTCTACAAGCTACAGCTTTTATTCAATTTTAATAATATATTTCTTTGAATATTTTATAATGATAATCGGTGTGGAACAGCGATCCCGATATTGAATTTACAACTCCCACTGTTCAATTTTATAGCTTTGTAATTTTGAACTCAACCCAGAAGACAAGAGATGTCCTGGATGAAGCATTGGGACAAACTAGCCTCTGTGGAGGAATTTTGATGGAACTAACCCGTATTTGCGTTACATGAAGAGGAAAACAACGAAAACATCCAAATGTTCGCTGGTGGCAATGGGGATTATGACCCATGGTCCGTATACCACTGATTATATTTATACTTCAGCACTGTGGTCAGTGCGGTTCGGAAGCAGATTCATATCAACCAGCCACCATTGGGTCAACGCTTTGGGAGGCTACCGATCTATTTTCTGATCCACCACTGTTCAAATTACTAATATAGTCCAAACCAGGATTATTTAAAATTCACTCATGTGACAACTAAGTTTTCCCACTTCTCTGGCACGTAGGACGTAGTAGGAAAAAGTCGATAATACATTTCCGTTACGGTCATATGCCTTATGTTTTAAGTGTTATTTTATAAGGAGCAGGCAAGTGTATATCGCAGTATATAAACAGCATTTTTTCATCAACTTTTACGAAAAAGTAAAAACTAAACTAAAAATAATGTTTTGAAAGAAAAGTCTGTAGCTTTAGGAAGAAAAAAATTGAAATCCCCACACCCGGATTCAGTCAGATCAAATAACTGTATAAATACAAAAATGAAAAATTGTTCCCTGGCGTCTTAGTCAAAATAAAGATAAACGTAATGAAAAATTTGCCCAATATATTTTTAGAAAATAAATCAATTACAGAAAATTAAAGTTTAATTAAACTGATTAGTTTGAAAAATCAGATATGCTTAATTTCTTAGGCGTTATGTGGAACTCTCTACAATTCTAGGAAGTCTTTCATGACTTACATTCAAAGTAACTTGAATTTGTATTTTAAACGATTTAGCACTTATAGTTAAATAATTAGCTCTTTCAAATAATCTAAGTGCAAAGGGTTAACACGCTGAATGTTGTAATAGTAGCATACCATTGCAGGCACTCCAACTGCTTCGTTTTCAGCAAAATGTTTAATAAATTGGTAGCGAATTAAAGAGTAAAACTTTTAGAATAAGGGTAATAATGCCCACTCTTTAAAAGTGCCACCACGTGATATTGGCATAAAAATTGCATTTCATATGATACCATGAATTGTTTATATATAGTCTGGAAAAATTACTTACATGAAAAATACTAAACTAAAAGTGACTTAAATTTCGTTACCACTAAAAAATACTTTTTTACAAAACGGAGCAAGTTAGCATCGCCGGCATTGTGTAAGAAACCCGTGCCAGCCTCCAAGGTTGCTCATAAACTTGCAGAGATTACCAACTATAACTATGTTAAGTTAAATTATTCGCTTTCATTTTTTCTTCAAAATACGCTTAAGTAGTATTAAATTCGCGTTGCGTCATGGGTTTGCAAACATTAGATCGGCATTCAGCGTGTTAAGTGATAATTTATTAACTTGCACATCATATAGCTTTATTTTAGTGTGATATTATTTATTTATACAGAGTAAGTGTGCGTTATAGATTTTCAATTAATATTGAAGACGAATTCAATTATTATTTTGTTTGTTTCTATTTTAAATGTTTAAGGATCTATTTTTAAATTTTGGTATACTGCATTTAATTTAAAATGCTCTTGTATCCGTTCTTTTTTATCATATGATAACAATGTTAAACAGGATTACAAAGGCAATCACCTTCCAAATAATATTTTGTGCAATTTTACTGATGTTGATTGTAATAACTGTACATAATGAAAAATCATAAAATGATCTTAAAAATATTGTTTCTTTTCTTTTTTTAGTGTGTGTTGGAACTATTACTATTTTTCTAAGCTAAAAATGATACGAAAATTTTTCATGTTGAAAGAGGGAAAAGATTTTTTTCTGGCTGTAGTGAACTAAAGCAGAAATTTTTAAACGAATAGAATTTTTTTAAAAATGTTTACCAAAGCTTATGAATATGAGCATTTTCCCTCTCAATTTTTGCATAACTTTTTAAATAATTTATAAGTACTTGTTGCCGAAATTCTTTTAAATTTATTGCGATGAAATATTTTAGCTTCTAATGAGAAACAAATTTTCGGAAACAATGGAAATTTCATAGCTGTAGGAGGGTATGCCGTATTACTAATTTTTTTTAAAGCTGTTATAAATTTCTGCCTGATCAACAGATGGCGCCGCTGTATTTACTCACAATAATTCTGATAATGTAGTCACTAGTGTGGCAGCAAGCAACGGATCGGAATGAAAGGCTTATTAGGAAGCTCAACAAATATCGTACTATCATACTGTTCGTTTTTATTGTAATAATATCATTACATTTGCTTGTTATCAAATACGGCACTTATAGTCGATGCACGAATTCTAAACTGGACCATTTTGCAACGAAAGCCTCAGCTATTTAATGTAATATTTACTTATAAATTTTCAAAAAAATTACAAATTAGGCAGAAAATCTTTTTAATTTGTAGTAATATTATACAAAGTAATGATAAGTTAAAATACTAAATGAAATGAATAGTCTTTGTAATGAAGTAATAAATAAGCTCAGGTAATGGTAGTCTTCAACTCAATAAACTATTCATTAGTTTCTTCAGGAACGATTTCCCCACTCATAAAGCGAATGACCCTGAAAAGAAATAGTAATGTTAGGAATTTGTATATATGTGCATAATTTTGAGAATACTCTTTTGCTGTGAGGTTAAATATCTCAGATGGACCCAAACTTAACAGCTTAATTATAAAATTTCTTAGAAAGTTGAGGCGATTCTAATGTAATTTAGAAAGAAAATAACGTCTAATGCATTTCCAGCATAAGAGCCGGTTTGGCGAACTTGAACAGGTGGTCAACTTAAAAGGGTGATTAGCATATAGTAAAAATTCGTTTCTTTGTAAAAGAGGTCAGGTTGTCAACTTACAAGGGTGATTAATATATAGTATATACTCGCTTCTTCGTAAAAGAGGTAAACTTAGACAGGTTGTGAACTTACAAGGGTGATTGACATACAGTATATACTCGTTTCCTGATAAAAGAGGTCAACTTAGACAGGCTGTCAACTTACAAGGGTGATTAATATATAGTATATACTCGTTTCTTGTTAAAAGAGGTCAACTTAGACAGGTTGTCAACTTATAAGCGTAATTAATATATAGCGTTAACTCGCATCTTGGTAAAAGAGGTCAACTTAGACAGAAAGTTAACTTACAAGGGGGATTAACTTGACACGTTTTACTGTACTACGATGAGATATCTTTAAGGTGTGTAGGAACAACACCTCCTAGAAAGGAGCAGGCCTCAGCACGGGTTACCATAAATATCCTTTAGTAGTCCAAACGTAACGACATATTTCGTATTTTCAACCACTGCGCAGCTTAGTACCCCGAAAGTAATGACATCTTTCTTATTTTTCATCTACTGCGCAGTTAACTTCGTCACATCGGACTACTAAATTGATCCGTGCTGAGACTTTCCTACTTCTAGGAGGTGTTGGTAGGAACCGTAACTAATGCGCAACTTTTTTAGTGTAGTTAATGTAAATTTTTATATATTACCTTCCTGTGTAGTCCGTTAAAGTCTGTTCGGAAAATGATAAGACGGTGCTCTCCTGAAAAAGAGATCTGGTGGTTGCATTAGGCGGTTCCTGCTCATCTATAATAACGATCTTGGGCTTCTTTAAGAGACAACGAGCAATAGACAGTAGATACTTTTCTTCACTACTATATAAAAACAATAAGTAAAAATGTATATTATTTGAAAAGTATTTCATAGCTGTCAGTTATTTTTGAATTTAACTTTTAAATGATAGCAAAACTAATTCCTTTTTAATTTCATTCTTGAATTTAGAAATGAAATTTAGAATATTCATGACCTTCATCACTCATAGATAGGTAGAATTTTTGTTTAAATGCTTATTAACAGTTCGATTATGCACTTAAGATCTGGAAAAAAAATATAAATGCATTTTTGCCGGAAATGAATTTCCAATTTTCATTTTACTACCACAGTGGGAAATCATTCTATGAAACAGAAAAAGTTGGCAGGTATTGTAATTGCAAGGGAAACAGTGAATAATCAGCCCATCAATATCCGTAAACATAAGCAAATTTATTATCTGGATACCTGAGGGCGTAATCAGCTTCCCGTGTAGTAAATGGTGACTGGGGCACGCTAAATATGTCGGGTCAGAAAATTATGAATGTTCCTATAAGGATCTGTTCTTTGGTTTTGGTCAAAATTAGGATCTGTGGATCAATGAAGGGATGTATGAATGGGTCCGCCCTATAATTGGGCTGACTCCCAACTCTATGGCAGTATTTCGGGGAAGACATATTTCTCTTCCAGTTGTCATTCACACATCGAGGTTTGGACAGATGTGGTTTGATAAAATGGGTGTTCAAAAACTGGACTGGCCTTCTAATAACACCCATATATATCTTATAGAGCACCTTTAGAACGAATTATACCGCAGATTACGTACCCAGTCAAATCGACTATCCTCTTTGCAAGCACTCACTTAAGTTGCGATGGAGCCTGGAAGTCAGTTCCTATGGCCACCTATCAAAAACTGGTGAAATTCTTCTCAGACATGTGCAGGCTGTCATCGATGCAAAAGAGGGACCAACATCATATTAATATGTGCCTCAGGTTGCTCTAAATTCATACCAATGAGTGTCCGGGTACTTTTGGACAGATGGTGCATGTACTGTGAAAAAGTATTGGAGGGACCGTAGTCAAAAGGCATGATATCCAATAGACTGACATTTGTAAAATAAATTAATCGTTGTTACTGTTAGTCATTGTTTTGGTAGGCATATGTTTTAAGAACAAAAAATCTTGTTGCTATCTGTACTTCAGTCTCAATGATTAAATTAGGTAAATCTATCTGAAAAGCACTTGATGCTATTAAAAATTTAAAAAGAAATACTTTATAGAAAGTAAAAAAAAATATTAAAACTTACAAAAACTTTTATAAGCATTTAAAATTATGTTAAATTTTTAACTTCATATTTCGCTAATCAAGCAAATACGCAAATAATTTTAAAACCCATTTGCAAATTAAAAATTTCAGTCATGCGAATAAAATGCAAATTCAGTTGTAATAAAATATAAATGAAGTAATTAGTTCAACTTTTAGTAAGTTTGAATTTGAAATAATTTTTCTTTAAGTGTAGATATTCTATTCTATAAAATCAGCCGCTCTTTAAAATCAAATGTCTTCAAAACGAGCATGATTTCAATACGCGGAGAACAGTGTAATAGTTTTCTTAGAACTAACATTTTTAATCAATGAAGTGAAAATGTTGTGCTGCAAAATTTATCTTTTCCTATGATATTTTACTGAGCTGCAATGTCTCAGGGGATAGAGCGTTCGCTTTCCAATGAGGTGAACCCGGATCGAATCCCAGCGATGACTGGTCCTTACAGGAGCCCAGCTAGCATAACTAAAGAAGAAGAAGTAGTTACCTCGAGATGACACTTTTAAAAAATGGGTGTAATCGTCCTTTCGCTACCTACAAATTTTACTGTTTAATTCATTACCCAATTTATTAAAACTCTTGCAGAAAGCTGCGCAGTTGGCATCCCTACGTACTGAAAATTAATACTCCATTTACATTCCTACCACCTCATCGAACTACTACATATAGGTCTGCAACGGCAGTTCCCTAACCCCTACACAGACCGGTCGGCGAATTAATGCAATATAGAACACAAAAATAGTTTATTTATATACACAGAGAAGTCAATTTGTTCCGGACAGCGAATAAATATTTTTAAGTGGTAGTTTAATTCTTGGTTTAATAAATACAATTTAGTAGATTTCTATCTACCATTATTTCTAAACAACTCGTAGGCCTATATAATTTACCACTTTTTTCAAATATTTCATGCTAAACCTTTTAAAAAAAACTAGCAAAATCTGTCTAAAATTGCAAATTTAGTTGTAGTTATTTACCGTTTGGCCAGACAGCCAAGCCATGTAAAATTAGTGTGGCATTTAACGTGTTAACTTGAATTGCAATTTCACTACAACTTAAAATACTGAAGGATGCTAGAACTTTCAGATTGGCATAAATACTTTTACCCTGTTTTTTCAGTAATATTGAAAAAAAAATTCCCCCCCAAAAAGCGCAAAAGTTGGCAGCTATGACCGTACCTCATTTGTTCGTCTATAATACTGTCAAGCTGTGGAAACTCAACTCCGTATTTTACACGAATAATTTCCAAAGCATCTTCCATTTCTTCGTCTGAATATATTTGACCTGGATCCAAATTATGCCTGAGTGATCCTTTGAAAATAATAGTTTCCTGAAAACATAATATATAGTTTAATAAACAACGAGCAAAATTACATAATTAATGTTTGATGTCCAGCGGATTACTGACTGATAAAACAAACGATATGCTCATTGTGAAAGCCGTAAAAATGTCATGCAGAAATTTTTACATTAGGTTATAAAAGTTGTCAACAGATGGCACCACAGGCCATTGTAGCAGTTCTAGCGTTAAACGTGAAAGGAGGTTATCGTACCGGATAGGTTTAAACCATGTATTCTATTGAACAATGTATGTTACTGGAACTGGAATATAACAAGTTAGATTACAATCCTAAGGCATTTGTATTAATTTCAAGAGCGTTAAATAAGCGTAAAGTGCCATCTGTTGGTAACTTTTGTAATTAAATCCCAAAATTTCTGTATAAAATTTTTACAGCTTTCACAACAAAATGCTGTGTGTTTTATTCATTTATTATCTTTTGTTTCCGAGATTTTTAATTTTGACATCCGTCATCCGCCGGATATCCGGTAAATATTAACAAAACTGCCATACTTGTGGAATAACACCTAATTTCGAACGTAAATCTCGAAGTCCTAAATTTTGTGTAAAGATATTATCTATAACGATGTTTCCTTCTGCTGGTTCGATAAGTCTGAATAAGGTATACAGGAAAGTATAGATTCCGGATTCTTCTTTTCCAATAATAGCTACCTGAAAATATGGAACAAAATAAGTAATATCAGTACTTGTTACTGTTGTAGACAAAGTGAATAATACCGCTATTAGTAAACAATCCTTGTCATTTTGAATATGCTATTGTTTTTTCTTAAATAGACGTCTCAAGGTTAGATGATTTACCCATTATTCACACTTTTTCCCTCTGTTACCATAGTTACTGATTGCTTTTTCCCACGGCAATATGTTTCAGCAAGAAAGGATAATATACTGGAGTGGGAAATCTATGCCTATTCTATTTACAAAGTTTATAGACTAACTGGAAATCACTTGAATTCTTTCTAATCAGGATAACAATTTTAAGGCTTACAGCAGTGAGCCCGCATATCTTAAGGGTATTCAAAAATCTATCATTTATTTCTTAACGAGCCTGGTTCTTGGTTTCAGTAAGCCCAGAGTAGTTAAAACTTTTTACATAGATTTATTGGAATAAGCAGATTTAAATCAGCCAATATAGTCTGATTGAGTTATACTTTACAGTTTTCTTTATTAGTTTAAAGTAGGGTGTCTACAGCTCCCTGAAATACCGCTAAATTTCCGGATTTTCGTGAATTTCAAAGAACTGCCTCTAAAAAAAACAGTGTTTTAAAAAAATTAGTTTCAAAGGAAATTAAAATATAGATTTTTGTTAGCAACCCTCCCACGATAAATTTATATAAAACATTTTTTTCAATACATTTTCTTTATTTTGTATTATTCAGGTTGAAATAAATGAAAATATAATATTTTGCTTTTTAATAATTTATGGCTATGATTAATAATTTATTTATAATTTATGGTTACAGTTTGAAGCACTGGTGTCTTTTTCAGTGTTAAAGACAAAATCTTCCAAATATGGCTCACTTCCAAACAATAATTTTTCAAATTTGCACTTACTTGAAGTTATTTATATTTAAAAGAAACAATTATTCTACTATTAACGAACAAATTTACTATTTTACTTTAAAAGTCATTTGGATAAAATATTCTTTCAATTGAATAACAGTTTTACTACAATAATTATCTTTCTTAATCATCTACTTAAATTAGGCATCGAAATCAACTTTCATATTTTCCGTTACACCATTCTATAATTAATTTTTTTAATTAGTTTTTAAGCATGTTTTTAGTGATCAAATTTCATCGAAATCTAGTTTAGGTTTTGAAAAATTCCAAATATTTAAAAAATTTAATATTTTGTAAATTTTTTTACTGTATTTTATAACCGTCGTTGAACAGCCGACCCAATATTGGGTTTACCCCTACTAATGTTCAACTCTGTGGCCTTTTAATTTTGAACCCAATCCAGAAGACAAGGGAACACCTGGATCAAGTTTTGGGGGAAATTTGCTTTCGTGGAGGACTTTATGATGGAACTAACCCGCATTTGCGCTACATGAAGAGGAAAACTACAAAAACCTCTCAGGTTAGTCTGATGGTGAGGATATGGCTACTACTGAGGATATTTTATGTCAACACTGTGGTCGGTGCAAGAAGGATGCGGAATTTGTATCGACCTGCTATTGCTGGGATTCGAACCCGGTTCACCTCATTAGAAGGCGAACGCTGTATTCCCTAAGCCATCACGGCTCGAAAATAATTAACCTAAATTCTCCATTAACTAACATATTTGTCTTTCGGCCAAGAGTTTATAACTTTTCGTAAGAGAATTATAGTTAAACCAATTACTCAAAAGATAAGAAAAGAAATATACCCTGTTAAAATACTAGTAACAAATTTTTGAGTCGTTATAGAGTTTAACCCTTTCGCGCCGACTGTCACAAATGCGTGCCAGCATAAAACCGTATCAATCTGGGTAAAAATATAAAACTGGTAATCAAAGTATTTCTTTAGCAGTTTACTTGTGGGCGGAATTATAATTGTTTGATTTATTTAATTCCCCATTACTTAGTTCAAAATAAAATCATTTAATTATACTTTGAGCTAACATTGATTATATATATGATCAAACTAACAATAATTAAAGTAAAGTAACTATAAAAGCCTGCTTTTCAAAACTTTGTCCTTTTCACCTATTCCGTGGGTAATATATATAAATTCGATGAAAAAAAAAGGCATGTTTAATCAGAAATTTTTTTCTTGAGGTGAAAATAAGCAAATTCCTAATCCTAGTAGTGCGGTTTAGTTAGCAATCCATTCATAATGAATTTGGGTTCGGTCATTGTGGTTAGCAGGCAGTGGGGTTGATTTATATTCACTTCAAGCACTTTGCTTAAGTTACAAAAGATAAATGAAAATAATAAGAGCAGCTTGCTCTAAACTATGTTTGCTTCAAAATTGTAATTGTTGTTGTAGGTGAGTAAAAATGTGTCAGCATGAGGAAACGTCTTGAATATCCATTTTTCAGATAAGATTTGAAGTTAGGAAATGTTATTTGTTTTGATAGTTGTGATATTAGTCGTCGGAGGTGAAATGTGCAGCAATCGGTCTATATTTCTTCTCTTTACTGAAGTTTTCAAAGTTGAATATTTCGTTAAAATTGACTGTACTGCATTCTGTGGCTTTGCCGAAAAAATCTGCATTAAGTTGAGATATGTGCGGTGATGTAGTTGGATTTTTAGATCTTCATGGATATTTGTATTCCGGATGAACCATCTGGCTCAGAGGATTTTTCTTAAGATCTTGTTTTGACATTTAGTTTTTCATGAGCTGCTTTGGTATTGTTGACCAGGCAGCTGAGGCATAGGAAAGTATTGGACGGATCATTTTTGTATAATTTCTTTAACTTTAGAGACATATTCTGATGGTAAATTAGAGGTTGTATAACTACTATTGCTGCGCTTTCTTTGCCTATAATGCTTTTGACGTGATAATTTCATGTAAGTTTGCTGTTTATGATTAGTCCAAGGTAATTTGCACTTTCAACTATTGGAATTTGATCATTAAACAATTTTGGTAATAAGCGAATTTCACCATGACGGTTAGAATTAACTGTTATGCATATTTAAAGAGATTTCATTGAGATATTCAGGTCTGCCAACTACTACGCTTTTTGTAAAATATTTTATAGAGTGGTGTATATTTAAGAACCAGAGCTTTCAGAAATTTAGGCAATTTTGAGATTTTTTTTAGAAATTAAAGCCTCACTAGGAAAGAGCTGGAAAAAAGTGGAGTTGCATAGAAACTTTCAAATCACTTATAAGTATTGGTATGTAAAAAACTTCAAATGAATAAAAAATAATACATTAAAACATAAACTTAACTACCACTAGAATAATTTTTTACAAAAAGCGTAAAAAGTTTATTACCCTGAACGTCACACTCCTAAAGAGCTCGAACAAAGGGGCGTTGCATATGAACTTTTAAATCATTTATCTGTAGTAATGTGGAGAAAAAGTTCAACTGAGTAAAAAATAATACATTGAAACATAAAGTTAGCTACCACTAGAATAAATTTTCACAAAAAGCATAGAAAGTTGTTAGGTCTGGATATTACCAAAATACTTTACAGAATATGAAAATCTGATCAATAAATCAAAAGTTATGAAAGTGAACCATTTTTTTCCCCACTGACTGTACCATTAGAAATAAAATTCTAAATTTTTATGGCTCAACCCTACCTTAAACACTTCGCAAGATAGGAAAATTTTGAATAATGATACAATTTGAACACGACAACTTTGCTTATCTTCACGACATTACGAGATTTACTATTCTTGTTCAGTTTTTAAATGAAAATAGTTCATAAAAACATATCATTAGGTAAATTTAATTAGTTCAAAATGTAGTGGTTTCATTGACAACCACTATGAAATATGCTAAGTAGAAAAAAATTGAGACTTTTTTATAGTGAGACAAACCTTTTCTCTTGAGGCTACTGAAAGATTTATGTTATGAATAACTGGATACATTCCTTCTCCATAGGCGGTGCTCAGATTATGAACTCGTATGGAACCAAACTCAGGCCAATCTTCTGGTGGTTTATTAGCTGGATCTTCCCATTCTGACTAAAAACAATTCAGTGAATAAAAGTTACTAATTCTGATGAGGGAAAATATTTACTCAATTTTTTATGATCAATTTTAATATAAAATTAGAATTTTAAATTACTCAATACAAACAATTAAACCCTCATATGAATGGTCTAAAATAACTAATTATTCCAATAAAGTTAATGGACTATAAACAAAACCTTTTTTTACAGTTTCCACTTAAATTTTTTCAATGTAGGAAAGTCAGTTTTGGTGTTGGAAGGCATATGTGCTTATTGGATGATTTAAAAAACTTACCTAGATCGAACCTGGATGAAGATAGAAGTGCAGTTGCTGGTGTGACGAAAGAAAATTGCGCAATGTTTTTATTTGGTGCATTATTTGTCATGCGAGAAGTCATAAAATGATAATCACTTAGAAGCTGTCTATCTATGTAATGCGTTTCTGAAGCAACGCATAACTAAGCAATCGACAGTTAATGGCTGCTTCTTGTCAATTTTCTGAAGCTAGACAAGAGTCAATGACCGGTGGTGTTTGAAAGCATGCAAAGGTAGGAAATCGAATCGAAACATTTGGGTAAACTTTCTCTTGAAATCATACTACTGCACTACAACGCTAAACCATATACAGCCAAGGCAATAAGAGAACTACTAAAGAAGTTCAAAATGGAAGCCTGAGCCATATACCCCCGGGTGAGCTCACAGGGGCACTCTGGGAAACTGGTTTTAAACTGATGTCAAATTTAAAGTGTGCTTTTTACTAACTATCTAATTCTCTAAGATAGTTAATAACAAGATTTACTGAATCTTGCAATTAACTATCCAGACCTTGTTACGAAAGTAGTTGAAAAGTTTTATTACACGATTTTAGGATATTTCTGTTCCGTGTTCTTATGGTACGAATCACACCAAATTAGTGATTTTTATAATCTAACATAGCCGACCAGGTGGCCGAGTGGTTAGCGTGCCTGACTGCGGAGCCAATGGTTGCGGGTTCGAATCCCGCTCAGGGCATGAATGTTTCTTTCTCTCTGTGTTCTATGTCCTTTCTCCTATGTGTGATTTTTATTTTATTTTATAACCGTTGTTGAACAGCCGACCCAATTTCATGGGTTTACGACTACTAACGTTCAACTCCGTAGCCTTGTAATTTTGAACCAATCCAGAAGACAAGGAAACTCCTGGATCAGTACCCCCAGAGGTATTGATTTGTTGTGGGAACATGGAGGACTTTGAGACTCGACAGATTTAACGTGCATCAGTCAACATTTACTACAGGGGGAGTCTTCGGCCGGCGAGGATCGAACCCACGACCTCTTGGATATGGGCCTAGCGCCCTACCGACCAGGCTATCCCGGCCCCCCTATGTGTGATTGTGTGAATGTGACCTGTCCTATAAACGGGCTTGTGGTTGTGTGACTTGGGCGACGTAGCTCCACCGCCATGGCTTCGCCACAGGTGCCCACTGGGTAACGAGAAGAGAGTAGCAGTTCTGGCACTCCTGGCCAATGGGACAATGCATCCTCCCAAGTGCCCGCCATTAAAAAAAATAATAATCTAACTTATCCTTGCTAATTTTCCTAACATGTTTTTTTGACCAAAATTAAGTTTCGTAAACTAAAACTCAGTAATACAAGGTTTTGTTAATGAAAATACAAAAATTAATATGGAAAACACAATAAAAATTTTTACCACTTACTTCTTGCTTCAGCTCAGAAAATCCAATAATTCTTTCGAATGGGGATAAATCAGCAACTAATTGCGAGCTTGTGTACACCAAAGCTGTCAAAACTTCTCCTAACTAGAAAAATACCAAATCAAAATTGCATTTATTGCATTGAATGCAAATGATATAATTTGTAAAATAGACAATTTTCTAATAAATACCTGCATAGCATATATGATCGAAAGTACGATAAAGCTTCTACCTTGCTCTTGTTCATAAAAGGCTGCAATTGTCGTTACAAGCACTAATAGAGCTGTTAAAATATCTAAGACGCAACTAATCCATCTAAATAAACAATATAAATCATAAGAATTATAAATACACTTTTATATCACAATTATCAAAAATGGTTTCAGATTGGTCCTTGTGACGCCAATTTTCTAATAAATACCTGCATAAGATATTTGATCGAAAATACGATAAAACTTCTACCTTGCTCTTAATCATAAAAGACTGCAATTGTTGTTACAAGCACTAACAGACCTGTTAAAATATCTAAGACGCAACTTATCCATCTAAATAAACAATACGAACCATAAGAATTATAAATACACTTTTATATCACGATTCTCAGACGTGGTCTCAGATTGGTCTTTGGGACGTCAATGCATAAATACACTTTTGACTAAGTGCGCGTATGTGAAGTTAGCTTTCATTTTTACCTTTATATTTTATGATTTATCTCATTTTTAGTTTTATAAGTCAAATTAACTAACATCCTCTACAGGCTGCCAACTGTCTACGCTTTTTGTAAAAATTTATTCTATCGGTAGCTAAGTTAATGTTTTAAAGTATTATTTTTATACATTTACGCTTATTTTCCATACCCCTACATGTGAATGGTTTCAAAGTTCATATGCAACTTCATTTTCAGGCCTGCCAACTACTGCGATTTTGGAAAAATATTTTATAGAGTGGAAAACATTTAAAAATCAAACCTTTCAGAAGTTTCGGTAATTTTTCCAACATTTTAAAAGCCTCGCCAAGAAAGAGATAGAACAAAGTGGCTCTGCATATGAACTTATAAATCACTTATGTGTACTGGTGTGGAAAATAAGTTCAAATGAATAAAAAACAATACATTAAGCCATAAACTTAGATACCACTAGAATAAATTTTTACAAAAAGGGTAAAAGTTGTTCTACATTTTATTCTAACTCTCGCGTGGTGAGGCCTTAAAAATGTTAGCGAAAATACCTAAAACTCTGAAAGCTTTGGCTTAAAATGACTATCACTCTATAAAATATTTAACAGAAAGCGTAGTAGTTTGCAGATCCCGTATGCCTTTCATTAATTCTATAAATCCAAATATCTGATAAGTATATATAAACCTTACAGTACTTTTAAAAATCAGCATATAGGACATAAATCTTTTAAAAAAGTCATGGGTCTACACCACTGTTGCAAACTTTTTCACATTATGAGACAGTTTGTATTTTCATTTCGAAAGTGGTAACCATGATTGATTCTAGGTTGAATAATATAATTCAAAATAATTTGTATCCTTACTTCATAGAAACTAAATGACCATGTAAAAGAGAGAAAGAATTCAATAAAAATTTTAACTGCTGGTAAAATTTAAAATCATTTCTCAACAAATACCAATTCTATTCTTTTTCACTACCACTATAGAAAAAAGTCATTGAAGTGCTATAAAATTGGCAGCTATGTAACCCCTATTTTTGGTCACTTGATGGTCGACTTCGATGGTGAGATAAGGAGGCTAGATGGAGGGTTAAAGTTTTTCTTGCAGCTTTAATTTGTGAGAATTTTCGATGAATACTGGGTTTTCATTAGATATCTTAGTGATGCCGATGACTGAACTGTGTTTTGATCAGAATCTTTCAAGACAGCATATGGTTTACTCACCGGGACAAAGTACTTATCGAGTAAGCGACCACCGGCGAATAATTAGAGCAGTAGGTAGACTTTGAACGTTTCACAGACTTGAGGACTGTAGTAGTAGTACTTAGATCTATAGTCAACCTGTTCTCTGCTACTTGGGAATCTTTTGTCCTCTGGTAGAATGGGTTTTCAGTAATTGTTCATCTGCGAAACTAAGTTTCACCAACTGCTAAAAAGTGTATTACAACCCTCTGTTACTGCTCTTTCGAGGTCAGTATGATTTTAAACAATGTGAAAGTTTCTTCAAGTTATGTTTTATCGGACTTTATTGCAGTTTCTTATCGCCTCAACTTTGGTATGACTTTTTCCGAACTTAATTGTGCATAATTTTCAATTTTAAGTGTTAATGTACGTTAAAATATCTGAAACGACAGCAATGTGGGCTTCTCATGCAAGCCTGCCAACTACTACGCCTTTTGTAAAATATTTCATAGAATGGTAGGCTCAAATTCAAAGCTTTCAGGTTTTTTGATAATTTTGTCAACATTTTAAAGTGCCACCATGAAGGAACTGGAATAAAGTGGTTTTGTTTATGAACTTTTAAATAAATAATTTATATGTAGTAGTTTGGAAAATAAGTTTAAATAAATAAAAATAATACATTAAAACATAAACTTAGTTGCCACTGAAGTAAAGTTTTACAAACTGCGTTAAAAATTGGCAGCCCAGAAAAGGCTGATTTTGGCCTCAGGCCCCCAGTTAATAATGTCTATGTCTTCCGGCATTCTTGTCCATTTTTCATTGGCAGACCTTGTCACCTGGTCTGGATATTCGATTATTAGATAAACTTTGTAAAGAAAATGGCTACTGTACCTTGAAACTACTAGATAGAGAAAAAAACAATTATTGTGAGTGTCCAGTTTTGTATGAAAACGATGTAGAAAATTAGATTCCGCTTTGGATGTCCTGATATGAGAAATGCCTTGGAAAGTATCATCTAGTAAACCAGATAATGGACAACTTGTGGCAGCTGTTAAGTGATGAAGTTGTTGCCGAGTGTTTAAATAATGTCTCTGAAAACAAAAAAAATAATTAATTCCAGTTTAAAGAAAACAGAATTTATCTGATTCTTGCACTATGAGGTTTTGTTTTTCCAGTGAAAAGCAGGGCTAAAGAGAGGATAGAGAAGGGATGGTTCATTTTTTACTCAAAGCTAAAGTTACGATTATCCATCTCCTGACGTCACGCCGCACACATATCTCGAAAATCGCAACTAAATAATATGAAAACTTTTCTATTTAAACTTTCTGAAAGAAATGAGTTGAATGTTCGACACTTTTCTGATAATAGCTGTCAAACTTTACACTGATAACAAATTATTAATGTTCAGAAAATATAGTATTCATACATTTTCTTCGTATTTCTTGTAGAATTAAAAAGTAACATTTTAAAGCTAGAAAACTATCTCAATGGCTGTCGATATCGTTTCTTTATTGTTTTTTAATTTTCGTTTTTAACTTTTACTATTAAATAAAAGAAAGAATATAAGAAAACTTTTATTGTAATATATTGTCCGATAACAATCTGAATCTGTAAAATTGTCCGTATAGTTTATTAATTGGGATGCCTAAATTTATTAGATTCTTCTTATATATCATTATAATAGCAAAGTTTTTTATGTATTATCACCAGAAAACAAAAATCTGAAATGCTAATTACTATAAAAAATAATTTTTGGGAATATAATAATGGAAATATTTCACCTACTCATAAATATCTAAAATTAAAACGTTATAATTAAAACACAAATATAAAAAATATATTGGAAGAACTTTTAAGCATTAATAACCTTTATTTTTGAATTTCAGGATTTTATTTTCTTCGATCTTGTACATTTTTTTCTTCTTTTCTGTTTAAAGTTATGAGATGGTACCGATTCCATTGGCAAAATTCTATTAAAAGTTCTTAAACGTTCAAACGAAAAACACAAAACACAGTGCTTTTTATTCACAGCAGGTTAAATTCTCTTAGCACATTTTATAATTAATTTGAAGTCACTTTTATATTTTCTGAGGTAAAACATGGAAAATTAAGTTTTCTCATTTTGTGTTTTTTAATAATTCTTGTCTGTCACTATAGAGCAAGCTGATATTTGACTATTACTGTTGAATTTTTGCAATCAGATGAGAAGAAAATCATCAACAAATAAAAATTAAAAATTTAGGAAACAATGAAGGCAATTGAATTTTTTTTTTAAAAAAATGCTAATTACATGCTAAACAATTTATTTTTAAAGAGAGATGCTGGGCCGCTGTGACGTCACTGACTAAAATCAGAAGCTCATAGCGGCACGAGTTTCTTCAAAGGATGAGTAACCCAGCAGTGCGTGAGAATCACAAAAACTCAAAGCGTTTCAGTAAGTACAAATATTCGACTCCAATCTTACGCAATTTTAAAGGACGAAACTTAGTGTTAGTTCTGAAAGATGAATCAAGCTTACTTACTTGAATAACAATAAATAGGTAAACTACTGGAATTAAGCCAACAGCGAGGAAAGGACTTGCAATGAAGATCACAACCAACAATGCCGGAATTTTAAAAATCAATAGCAGCCATACATAAGTTGTTTCTGGTATTTTTTCATCGACGTATCGAAAATCCTTGTCAAAGCTATAATAAAGTTTGCCTTTATAATTAGAAAATATTTTTAGATGCGTGTATATTATGTTCAATAAATACATAACAAGGTGACCATAGTTCTGGAAAAATTTTAAAAAGCAGTGACGAGCAGTTCATAAGGTTGTTGGAAGTCTTAAAATTTTTGATTTCACATTATTGTTTGAAATTTATTGATCAGGTTTAATACATATACTTCATTTCTAAATATTTTTCGTTAGGTGGAAATACAGAATACAGTACCCTGCTATTCACACACACACACACACGCACGCACGCACGTGCACATACACACACATATATATACACACACTACCGTACAATAATTGAAGTGACACTTATTAATATTTTTTTGAATTTGTCTAGAAATACTTAGTGGACTATTTTGTAATTTTAGAAGTGCTTAGATAAATTCAAAAAAATATCAAAAACTAAAACCTCTTACATTATTGTAGGGTAGTGTAAGTTAAAGCATGTTTTCTTTAATTTTTTCTACCACTTTCTGGACTGAGGCCATCTTGCTTAACTTAATTTCAATTTTTGCCTCAATATTTGCAAAGTAAAACGCTTCAGTGTATACGTCATAGAAAAATTAAAAAATCTAGCTCTTCGCAAAGAGCACAGGCCATTTACGATGCACTAGGCTAATTGGAAAAAACCGTCGCTGAACTGCCGATCCAGTTTTAAGTTTACGACTACCAATGTTCAACTTCATAACCGTATAATTTTAAACTCAATCCAGAGGACAAGGAAACAACTGGATTAAGCACTGAGAGAAATTTGCCTTCTTGGGGGACTTTTTGATGGAACTAACCCACATTTCCGGTACATGGAGAGGGAAACCACGAAAACACCCATGGTTAGCCTGACGGCAAGGGGACTCTAACCCATGATTCGTCTACCACTGAGGATATTTTTTGTCAGCACTGTGGTCTGTGAGACCCGGATGTGGAATTCTTATTGCCCAGCCACAGCCTCATTGGGAGGTGAGCGATATTTTTTGGTTGTTTAAATAAGACAATATTCCTTTTAGAAAATTTGGAAATGTTCGAAGGTTACTTAATCTGATTTTATTCTCCTACGCTTATTACAATTAGAATTTAATATAGCTATGCTATAATAGAAAACACTAAAAGCTTAAAAAATGTTAAGGTTAAAAAGTCGACATACTTCGAGCACTGAAAAGAAAAGTGCTTATTTTTATTTCATTGAATATGGCTATTACAATAAGCCTTCATTACTTCGTCTTATATATAGGCATACACTGGGGCTACTTTAAAATAAAGCTAATCGAGATCTGACTAATACGGACCAAGTTTTAGTTTATAATAGATTATAATAGGTTTTCAATTACTCTTAAAGTATGTGAGCTCACTAAAATGAGCTTAAACAGTACTGAGCTAATTAGAAATTATTGGAGACTAGCCTGGCATATTACAAAAAGATGGCGGTTGTTTACAAAGATGCGTAATTAATCAATTTACGTTCGAAATGTTATGGTCTGAATCCTATATTAATTATTCATTTTAAAATTATTTAAATAAACATAAAAACCATGCTCTTGTTCTTCTTTCAGAAACAGTCCTATGATACTTCGAAAAGTTTTATGTAAATGCTTACATTATTTATTTGCATTACTACTGCATTAATTATGCCTATATTTTTTTCTTTAAAAGGCAGAGAAACCCAGAGAAATAATTACTGTTACGACCATGCTTCAGTTTTTATGTTTTGAAAAGCCGCTTCATACGCAGGTTCATAAATTTATTAGCTGCTTAGAAAAGATTAACTGCTCAGAAATTATATTCACGCAAGAGAAAAAAGTAGTGAGAGAAGGGACCCGATTTCGTCTCTTTCTCGCTACTTAATAAAAAATATACTTAGTATTTTCAAAATCTTATTTCTGGAAATAGGTGGCTAGTGAGCTTTATTATTTTAACAGTGAAAGTCTAAAGTTTATTTATAAATATATTTTTACCTTTTCAAAATAGAATAAGAGTTTCGAAGTTAATTGATTTTCCCATTCTCCACATTTTCTCTCTCTCAGTTACCATGTTAACTTCAGTTACCATGTTCCTTGCTTTTTATTCCCACCTTTCACGTGGTGTGGGGCGGGGAAAAACAAGATTAGCGGATACTAAGGTAGCGGAAGGGGGAACGAATGGAAAGTGGGCAAATCACGTATCCCGAAGTGAGTTGTGGTCGAATCTTATGAACTTTCTATAAAATCCCATACCTATCAATGATTTTGTTGATAGGAGTAGTTTCAAATATCATCTGTGACGCTCTCATGACAAATTGAAGAACCCAACTATGGAGTTTCTCAGCGGCCATTGTTCCCGAGGCAAACATAGCAATTCCACATGTAATCGTAAGAAATACTATAAAATAGGAAAGAGGAATCTAATGAGCACACGAAGAATATAATAGAGTCAACATTTCTCAAGTGAAACAAGAAAATACTATAAAATAGGATAGAAGAATCTAATAGAGTCAACATTTATTTCTCTAGTGAAACAAGAAAAATAAAATAATTTAATTTTTTTTAAACAAAAAGCATTAAGTAGGCATTTGTGTGTTTAGCTACGAGTTAAAATATTTTTGCTAAAAAAATATGATTTCTAATTACAGTACACTCCCGATATCTCGAACTTCGATATCTCGAAAACCTTGTTATATCAAAAAAGACTTTCCATCTTGACATTATACATCCCCTTAATGTTAATTTAAATTCCTATGTCGAGGAGTTTCTTCTCAAAACATTTTTTATTGGTGAGTAAATAACTACAAAGTAAATTTTGCAAATATTTAACTATTTCTGCTTGCTTTTTAAAAGGTATAGCATGACATAGCTACTACTATATATATAGTTGTACAAAGAGCCTGCCCGCAAAGCGGGCATCTGACTTCTTCATCGAATAATGTTTGCCCTTGGGCGACTAAGACTTTTGACTTTAGGCTAGGGAGGAAAGAATGGAGTACGGGACATACCTACTCAAAAGAGGTGAATTATATAAGCCTTAGAATTATTCGGAAATAGTGGTGGATAAACATCTACTAAATTGAATTTATTAAACCAAGAATCACAATTGATAAACTGCCACTTTGAAATATTTATTTGCTTTCCGGAGCAAAGTTGGCATCTCTGAAATTAGTGAAAAAATTCAATCACATTTCACCATGTTAACAGCTTTTCTATAGAATTAGCGCATTTTAAACACCTTCGTAAAACGAATTGTTTCGACTAAGTAAAATAATATAAATTTCCTGCAAAAGTCTATCCAGGTTTCAGAATTTTGATTCCATGCATATTTCTGGATTTCTAGAGTTATTTAGCCATTTCTATATTTTTAAACATTTGTACATGCTTATTAGAGAATGTATACAAATAATGCACTTCATAGATATTTGTGAATTGTAAAATTGTGTACAAGCATTGTATTCAACAAACATGTGCTGATTATACATTGTATACGCAGAAGTATGTTGATTATAAGATTGTAAGAGAAAATATTGTTCGTTACAAATGTGTGCGGATTGTAGATTATAAACAAAAATTATATATACCAAGCATGTGTGGAGAGTAAGATTGTAATCAAACAAATATGTGCGGATTGTAGACTATAAACGAAAATTATGTATACCGGGCATGTGTGGAGAGTAAGATTGTAATCAAACAAATTTGTGCGGATTGTAGATTACAAACAAAAATTATATATGCCTGGCATGTGTGGAGAGTTAGATTGTAATCAAACAAATATGTGCGTATGATTATTGTATTGTGAACTGTTAACTTACATTGAGAAAAAATAATTCCAGCATAAATAAGAAGATTGTGATTATCGTCATATCCTATGTTAACTTCATCTGCCCACCTACTTAGCCACACTCCACTAATTATCTAATTAGGAAAAATAAAAAAATAAATGAGAACCAAAAGATATGTAAAAACTATTGCTTCGTTATAACCCTTTGAAAGATCAATGAGTTACAAATATTCGATATATGTTTATATATATATATATCTATATACTCCTTAAATAACCATCTTAAAAAACTATCACACTATCATAAAAACATTATAATTCTCGCAACGTAAGAGAGATTTCGCACTCTCAAGTATCATGCTCATGCAGTGGTGGGAAGTAGCGGAACTACTCTAGTCGCTACTTTTTCCCATAGTTTGAGGTGCAGTGCGCTACTTTTTAAAAAGAGTAGTGTAGGGAGTAGTGCGATTCAACAAAAAAGAAGCAAAAACAGTAGTTTAGAGTGATTCCTGGTAATAACTTTTAACGTTAGTTAAATAAAAAAACAAAGTTCAAACGCAAAAAAAAAATTTCGAATCTAATTGGTGCAAATCCTTTGCGGGCCCGTCAACGTACGCAATGAGAATGCCTCTGTGATCGAGCGTTAATAAGATCTATGTCTAATGTTCAGAAAAATCGGTGCGAAGTCGGTCGAATTGTTCTTGAGAAATCGGTGTCAGATGCCGTAACTTACAATATCGTCTACATTAATTAATTAGCATAGTCACCCCCTCAAACCATTAAGAGTGAGTCCTAAAACACGAAGATCCGATTATTAGATCAAAATTTATTCAGTGTGATCCGTCAGGGTGATAATCACGCCCCCTCAAACCATAAGATTGAGTCCTAAAACATGAAGATTCGATCATTAGATCAAAATTTATTCAGGGTGATCCGTTTTTTTAGAACTGCACTTCAGTGATGTTTAACGTATTAAGTACGCAATGAACCTATACCGCCGCTGAATTCTTTGCTTTATTCTAAACTTATAGATCGTGTAGACAAGATAAACATACCGTTAATGCGTAAGGGTCAATGCCAGCAATATCTCCCTCAAACAAACCTGAAATATATATAAGTCACACATTCAATGTATTTGTTTATTTTTTATTAAAAAAGTACAATAATTAGAATTATTATTACCTTCATTTTCCATTTGATTGTTTGCAAACACTTCTATAAAAAATAATAAAACACAATTACTTTTGAGTAAAGTAAATTAAATCAAAATGTTTTATAGAAATGGTTTCAGTGAATCAAGCTGGTAAGGGACATTTTCAGAGTGACTATGATCAAGATATGAAAAAGAAAAAAAGTGGTATATGTACAGTATTATTATAGATTTTCTCGAAGGTGGATCAAATAATACTTTACCTTATTTTATTTACCATTACCCAATTCATACCTGCCAACTTGTACGATCGTTGAAAAGGATTTTACGAAGTGATAGAAAAACAACAATCAAGTTTGGAAGAATTTTCTATAAATAAAACTGTTAAGACATGTATAAGCATTAATAACCAGCAAATAAATTTTATTTACATATTTTAAATTATTGATTCGTGGGGGTAGTTTAAATTTTTTTTTGAAACTTTAAACTTCAAGATTTAATAGGGCCAAAACCCTAATGTTTCAACCACTAAAAAAATTATTTCTCAACAACCATACAACTTGGAAGCTATGCTGTTTCGTAATAAACCATAATGTTGCTTAACTCAAAATGTTTTTTACTCATTGTTTTTAAATAATTAAATTTACTGCCGTAATAACTTGTACTGCCGTTGAGAAATAATTCTTTTAGTGGGTGCAACGTTAGCGTTTTGACGTATTAAATCTTGAAGTATAAAGTTTAAAAATATTTTTAAACTACCACGAATTATTTAAAAAAATATGTAAATAAGAACTATTAGTTGGCTATATATGCTTATAAGGATGAGGACATGGCTGAAGTTATGCCAGTCGACTCTGGCGNCCAAGTGGTCGTGGGTTCGATTCCTGCCTGCCGAAGACTCTCCGTGTAGTAAATGGGGACAGATGCATGTTAAATCTGTCGAGTCTCAAAGTCCTCCATGTTCCCATAACAAATCAATACCTCTGGGGGCACTGAATAGGAGATTGATCGTTCTCTGATTCAGGTCAAAATTACGATCTGAGGAGGAATGAATGGATGTATGAATGGGTCCACCCCATAAAATGGGTGTGGCGTATGAGTGTGGCAGAAGTCGAATTCTTGGCCATAGATGGCGCCACTGGAAAAAGAAGAACAATCGCACCTCCTCTGCCTTAATGGCAAACGGCAACAACAACTGTTTTTCTCAGGAAATGAAAAAGAGTGAAAAACTAAAAAAAATGGTACTTTTAATTTTAAAACTACTTGGTTTTATAAAATGTCCAGAAATTATCTGGCAAAAGTTTGCTTTGTTTTGTTATTGTCAGAGAGCTTCTTGTGATTGTCCGTTTCATGACTTGTTCCGATTCCTACAATCTGTGTTTAAAATTTGTACGTGTAATTTTGGAGAACTATGCATGAAATAATAAAATTTGATAAAAATAAAATGCTCAGAAAATCTTTACTGGTAGAAAAGAAGTACAACACCTACTTTTGATGTATGAGATCCTTCATTTGTAAGAGCATGTTGCATTTCTATTTTTGCTGGTATTACAGCTGCAGCACACCACACATCATTCAATCTTCCAAATTCTATTTGATCTCTATAAAGTTTGGGTATTTAATTAAGAAGAAAAAAATAAGTAATTAAAAAACAAAATTAATTTCTTTTTGGGTAAAAAACAATGTTTTCAAATCCCATCAGAATTTACTAATATCTCATTAAAGATACTTCAATGGTTGGTTTGAGATGCAGCTTTAGAGATGTTAGGAAGACAATACTGACGCATGCACGAATTAAACTACCCCAAAATAGACAGTAGACTATTCCTCTGCATGCACAAGTATCTTTGATATTGCGAGTCATGTCATTTTATTAATTTTAATACTCTTTTGTATGTACAAATGTCTTTTAAAACTTCTTTCCCCATTGACAATGTTTGCAGGACTTAGGCAGTGGTTGGAAGTAGTGCACTACAAGTACTAAAACTACTGTAGTCGCTACTTCTTTTCGTAGTTAGCAGTCTAGTGTGCTACTCTTTGGAAAAAGTAGTGCAGTAAGTAGCGCGATACAAAAAGAAAACAGTAGTTTGTAGTGATTCCAGGCAACTACTATTAACGTAAGTAAATGCACAAGGTCAGTAGTAGTGTAATACAAAAAGAAAACAGTAGTTTGTAGTGATTCCAGGCATCTACTATTAACGTAAGTAAATGCATAAAGTCAGTAGTAGTGCGATACAAGAAGAAAACAGTAGTTTGTAGTGATTCCAGGCAACTACTATTAACGTAAGTAAATGCACAAGGTCAGTAGTAGTGCGATACAAAAAGAAAACAGTTGTTTGTAGTGATTCCAGGCAACTACTATTAACGTAAGTAAATGCACAAGGTCAGTAGTAATGCGATACAAAAAGAAAACAGTAGTTTGTAGTGATTCCAGGCAACTACTATTAACGTAAGTAAATGCGCAAGGTCAGTAGTAATGCGATACAAAAGGAAAACAGTAGTTTGTAGTGATTCCAGGCAAACTACTATTAACGTAAGTAAATGCACAAGGTCAGTAGTAGTGCGATACAAAAAGAAAACAGTAGTTTGTAGTGATTCCAATCAACTACTTTTAACGTAATTAAATGCACAAGGTTCTGACACAACTAATGTTTCGAATTTAAAAGGTACACATTTTTATGAGTAAGTCAATGGAATCAATAAAAATGACTCTGCGTTAACAGGAATTACGTATATAGAATCACGTTTAACTAATATTTAAACTAGCCATTGCGAAAAATAGATAATTAATCCCTTTAGTCTCACTTTCACAAGTACGCTCGCGAAGCATTGATATTATTTTAAAGGATGGTAATGCATTTTAGATGTACATAACTTTTTAAACGAAATAAAAGAGCATTAAAAAATTGAAAGTATTTGATAATTTCGCATTTCTTAAATTGAATATTCGCTGTCGAGTAAGGCATAAAAAGTTTTAGGTAAAAGGGTCTCAAGGGGTACTACAGGGGAAGTATTTATTAAGAATTTTCAAAGAACTTCTATTAATTCTTTAATTTTGCTAAAATAGTTTGGCATATGTGTATTAGAAATTATTCCAAATTAAAGCTGAGAAATCAACAATCTTAAAAAACTACATTATCAAAAACATTTAAATTTTAAAACATAAATTAAATTAATAAATAACACGCTTAAATTAAATTATTTAGATTTAGTTTGTTATGAACACAAGAAAAATAGCAGTGAGTTTAAGTGCTTTATAATAATCTGTTAAATACCTTTTTTTCAGTTAGGGAAATGTTTTTTTTTCAATTGTAGCGTTAAATTATTTCTTTTGCTCTCAGTTTGTGAATCTGGGTAGATTCGAAATTACACTGCACAGATTCGCAAACTAAGGGCAAAAGAAGTATTTTCGAAGTAAATTACTTTTTTTGCCATTAGTTTGTGAATTTGAGTAGATTTAATCTGACACTACTCAGATTTACAAGCTAAGGGCAGAAGAAATCATTTAGAAGTAAATTATTTACTTAGTAATAGAAGTTAAGTACTTCTATTACTAAGTAAATGAAGTAAACCATGATAAGCTACACTTACTCCGTAGAATTTCGTTGCACGTCTAATGGCTTGCGTTCTTTTATTGAATTCGAATGAATTCGTTTCATATATTCTGCAAAGAAACCATTTTTTTCCTTTAGTTGTAAATGAGATCCTTGTTCTACCAAACGACCATCTTTCAGAAACAGTATGCTATCAACGAGAGGCAAAAATTCCTCCGATTCTGTCAAAAATATTCTTGCCTGAAAGTATTTACAATAATTATACACGTAATCAGCGAAATTATGCTGAAGATATATATAATAGATTAATTAGAATAAATTATTTACTTATATAGCAGCTTACTTATTTTACAATTTGAAAAAAAAAATGGTTTTAAATTTAGTAATTATAACGAGGAAATTTGCTGCAGTTTTACTGTTTATTGGAATGACATACATTTGCAGGTTTGTGCTCTCAATTTAGGCTTATAAGCCTTTGTCAAATAGAAGGACAGATAGTCCAATACAGAGAAGGACAGCAAGAAGATACATCCAGGGTAACAGCGGGATTCGAACCCGCTACCTCCACGCTTTAAACAGCGTTTGGAAAGCGATATCGCTTGGCCAGAGAGGTCCCCAGTTTTTATAATGAGTCATACTGTTTGAACTGAGACTTTTACCACCTTTAATCTGACATCTTTTCATAAAAATTTTACGAACTTATCAAACTTATTTTAATGTGACCCTTACAAGACTTTTAGACACTTTTATAAAACTTATTTAAAAGATTTTCGTGCTTTTGAGTTCAAATTACAGAGATGATGATATTAATTTACTAATTTAGCTATTCCTCTTGTTATTTAGTTATGTGATTTAACTATTAAGCATGAGATTTATTCAGTTTTTGATTAAATTACTTGCATGCTAGATTTTATACTAAAAAATTTTGAAGGATAAAAGAATTTTTTGAACGTTAGGTTCATAAATATCACGATAGCTTAAAGTACATCACTAATTGAAAAAAGTAAAAGCCATTACTAATTGAAAAATTAAAAATAATGTTTAATTAAAAATTAAAATGAATTAGAAAATATAGTAACAAAGTTTGTTTAAAAAAAATATAACTTTTACTTAAAATTCGAGAAAGAAATAAGAGAAATAATACTTATTTAAAGTTTAAGTTCACATAAGCAAATAAAACTCACTTTTATAATTAGATAAAAAACTAAAATCAAATAAAATCAAAAATAAAATAAAATCAAAATCAAATAAAATCAAAAATCAAATAAAATCAAAAAACAAATCAAATCAAATCAAATCAAAAATTAAATCAAATCAAATCAAATCAACAATCAAATCAAATCAAAATTTAAATCAAAATTCACCTTCTCTTTTAAAACTCCACTTCTTCCAACAACTCTATGATAAAGATGTTCAGACAAAAAACCATCTATATTTTTAAAAGGATGATCAAAAATATACAAATCAGCATCTTGGTAAATAGCTCGAGCAATATCTATTTTTATTCTCTGTTCCATGCTTAAATGAACACCCTACAAAAAAATTTTATTAATGTCATAGGTATCAATATAGGTATCAATCATAGGTTCTACTGAAACTGAAAATATAGAGTTGTTGCTTTGTTTATAATGCCATTTGCCAATACCAGCAAGCTTGCTTGGTGAAACCAAGTGAATTTAAGGCCGAGGGTGCGTTTCTTGCTTTTAAGTGGCGCCATCTGTGACAAAGAATACGACTTCAGCCACACACACGCGTCACTGCCCGTTTATAGGGCGAACTCATTCATTCATCCACAGATCGTAATTTTGATCTAAACCAGAGAATGATCAATATCCAATTCGTTACCCTCAGAAGTATGATTTGGTATGGAAACATAAAAAGGACTTTGTGACGCGATAAATTTAAAGTGAAGCAGTCACCATTTACTGCAGGAAGAGTTTTCGGCCGGCTTGAATCGAACTCACGACCTCTTAAACATGTGCCCAATGATCTACCATTCAGGCTATCTCGGCCTACAAGTATCGGCCTACAATTCTCTTTAAAAAGCCATAAATAGTGATACCGCAGGATTTAATGAAATTTTTACTTTTGATAACATGGGAGAAGGCATAATCCTCAGGTCAATGGCAGCTTATTTTTGTAGCGACGCACTTTTATTTAAAATACAAAATATTTAATTTTCTTTTCATTCCAATTTGCATTCCAGTCACCAGGAAGAGCAACCTTAAAGTTAAAATTTAAATTTATTTTGGCGAAGCAATGAGATTAATCTTTCTTAAGAGATACTTGCTCGCCGAATTATATAAAGAATGGAAGTTTTTTTCTTTAATTTTATGAAGTATTTTACACTGATTTTCATCTAATATTTCATCCAAAATTAAAATTTTATTAATCATTTCTTTTGTAACGTTTAATTAAGAGAATTATGTTAATTCAGAGAGTTTAATTAAGAGAATTTTATGAGAAGAAGAAACAAGTTATAAAAGATATTCGGGGAATGAAATTGTAATTTCTTGGTTAACGAAATCTTTTAACCCTTTCGTTACGGCTACGCTGAAGTAACGCTTCTGAACGGTGCACCGCTCCAAGAAATGTACATATTACATGTTGGTAAGCCGATGTTCGGACTTTCCTATTTAAGTGTTACATTACAATTGGCGATCAAAATGGGTTGTAGGTGGCGTAGAGCAGAACTCTCTACCTATGGCAACACTTCGCATACTTTCACCATTAGCGTGTGGAGAGTCATAGGAGAAGGAAGTACGGTGGTTTCTCTCTTGATTTTCAAATAGATTAAAAACGTTTAGATTCGGAAACTACATAGAACTGAAAACTACATTGAACATAGTTATAAAAAAAAGCATCGTGGAAATTTTAAAAAAATATTTGTGACAATTAAATACAACTGAAAAAAGGAGAGGGTCAAGACGTGGAACCCGTATCCTCACCAGATGGCGTTGCAATCGCGAATATATTTAGATATTTTTCTAATGTTTTAAATAAAAATGCTATCGACTTACAAAACTTATTTTGAGCATTCAAATATGTTTTTCGTGGTATTAATGGTTATATTAAAAAGTACAACACTGAATTTGGCTAAATATGGTGCTTGGAGAGTACGCAAAAAAAAACACTCTAAATAACTTTTGCTCTAATGATCTGATTATCTTGTTCAAGGACTCAAATCTTAATTGCTTGAGAATTTGACTTCAAATATGTTAATTAATTAACACAGACGCTATTTTGAGTTACGAAATCAGAGACAAAAGCGTACTTTCTCTGAATAAATATATCTCTTTTTTGACGAATTCTGTTTTAGGATCCTAAAAATATAGGGGATAGCCGCAATTTGGAAAATATGGTTCAAATAGTCAGACCAGGACTGCGGTCTAAAATTTGGACCCCTTAATGTTAATTTTCTTTTTTACGTATTTCATCATATCTCCCGAACTTTTTAAGTGAATTGAAAAAAAATCTCCTCACAATTATAAAATTCGTTTATGAAAAGAAAATTACATGCAAAAAATATTTTTTATTATTTCATTTAGGAACAGTCGAAGAAACTTAAATAATAAGGCGTACAATTTTCGAAATTATTTTGAAGAATTTAATTTCACGCCACAAAATATAAATTTTTAGCGAAATCGGCCGCACAGCTCCTGAGAAATCGTATGTTAGAAAAGTCATATTTTTAAATTTCGAGTTCTCAGAAATTATTAAAGCGATTTCGCTCACATTTTGCATTTTGCAATACATAATTAGATTCTTCAAAATAATGTCAAAAATTGGGTACCTCATAATTTAAAACTTTTTCGACTTTTATTAAATAAAAATATAATAAATAACTACTAAAAGTTATTTTTTGCATGAAATTCTCTGTGGATAAAAAAAAATTATAATTGTGCTCAAAAACTTTTTATTTACTTTAGAAGTTGTCAAGATATGGCGAAATACGCAAAAAGTAAAATTAACATAAAGGCTCGAACAGCTCTCCTGGCCTAACTTTTAAGACGATATTTCCTAGATTGTGGCTACCCTCTGTATTTTGGAAGTCAGAAATCCAGATCCGTCGAAAAAACGGCATGTTTATTTAGGGAAAGTATGTTTTGTGTCTTATTTCATAACTTAATGATCGTCTGGACTAATTAATTAGCATATCTGAGATTATCTCTTCGAAACATCAAGATTGAGTCTTAGAACGCGAAGGATCCAATCATTAGATCAAAGGTTATTCAGATTGGTCCATTTTTACCATTGCGCATTTTAAGTTAAGGAATGATACATTAAAGTTTTAAAGGTACAAATGTCCCAGATGGTAAAGCAATGCAACCAAAATGGGCATCCAGTAGATAACTAAGGATATTAGAACTTATAAGCCAAAACTCGGATTATTCTTATTATAAGTTAATTTTTTATTAGTCATTTAGCTTATACGAAGTATTTAATGAAGAATAAAATATGATTTTTAAACTATTTTAATAAGAAAATGCCACAGCAATAAAATTTAATTATTTTCTCTTTTTTACGTTTAAGAAAAATTAAATATTTAATTGGAAATAATAAATTTTAATATTAACCAGTTTTCATTTACATTTACATAAAAAATGAATTTACAACATGGATTTAACTTTTAATGAACATAAATCACATTTCAATTTTCAATTTGCTAACGCATATTTTACTTTGCTTTTTTCAAAATTTGTTATAGTGTTATAGTTTAATTCCTTTCTTCTCTGGTGGTTGTTGCTGTTGTTATCGGCCATTAAGGCACTGTGAGTTTGATTGCTCTTGTTTCTCATTGGCGCCATCTATAGCTAAGAATTCGACTTCTGCCACACCCATACGTCACACCCGTTTATAAGGGTGGACCCATTCATACAACCATTCATTCATCCACCGATTGTAATTTTGACCTGAACCAGAAAACGATCAATCTCCAATCCAGTACCCCCAGAGATATAATTTATTATGGAAGTATGATTTGTTATGAAAGTAAGAGGTATGATTTGTTATGGAAGTATGGGGTAGGATTCGGTACAGAAACATAAAGGACTTCGTAACCCGACAAATTTAGCGTGCACTAGTCACCATTTCACCAGTCACCAATCACTTCGGCCGGATGGATTCGAACTCTTGTTCTCGCGACAGCGAGTCCAGAGTCCTACCAACCAGGCTATCCCAGCCATTTCTCTAGTAAATTTCATTTGCTGAATTCTAGAATATCATGGATTAATGTAAGTAAATAAAAATTTGCTTACTTTTTGGCCAACTTCTGTTTCGTCCCCAGCGGGTAAACTTTCAATATCATTCATTAAAGCACATGCTTCTAACGTTTTTTGATAGAAATCATTGTTTTTCTCTTTCAAAAATAAGATGTTCTTTTCCAAAGACATACTCTGTATCCAAGAATCTTGAGTTACAAATTCAATTCTATCCTATCAAAAAAAAGCAATTATTTTATTATTTCTCAAACCTTTTGAAACAATACCTCCCAGTTCTTCTGCATTTTGAGGAAGATTTTATTTTTACGTTTAGTAGGAAAAATTCTTAACTCATACTTGATTCTTGTTTTAGCAAAGTTAATTTAAATTGATTTTAGCTACTAATAATTTAGACGTACTTATAGTCAGACTTGCCTTCTCTATTGCTATGGTTTACAATTATTTTCAAAGCTTTAACTTACTTTTTTGAAGAGCGTAAACGGTGGCAGGTATGCAAGTCATATTGAAGCCAATTCTATGCTCATGCCCTCAAATTTCTATGCTTATTTTCAAAAAATATCATAGAATGGTAGACATATAAAATCCGATGCTTTCAGAATTTCGGTAATATTGCCAACTTTTTAAAAGCCTCATCATTATAGAGCAAAAATTAAGTGACGTTGCATATGAACTTTTGAATTATTTATATTTAATGATGTAGAAATTAAGTTCAAATGAATAAAGATAATACATTAAAGCATTAAACTTAGGTACCACTAGATTAAATTTTGACAATAAGCGTAGAAAATTGGTAGCCCCGTGAAGACATTAATGAGAAAAATTGAATGAAATAAAGATGAAAAATTGCGAAAAAAAACTAATGAGAAAAAAAAGTTCTTACAGAAAAAAGTTTGTATAAATTGCAAATTTGGAAATGCGCATTATTTAAAAAAATTTTACGGTATGGTTGAAATCACTCGTATTCGGCCTACAGTGTGTGCGAAAAGAGAAAGAAACTAATTAAAATTGGATCTAATCATTGTATCTTTAGTACTATCATGAAATTCAGAAATTCAACAGTTCACTATAAAAATCCTTTATCCTTCTGAACGCCTAAAATTATAGTAGTTACCTTAGATAAAATAGTGTAAGTACTATACTTAGAACTATGTAATGAAACACCAAGAATAAGTTTTTACACTACTAGGTATAAAGTAGCCTCCACCTTGTTTGTTATTAACACATTGCTGACCGGTCACGAGTTAACTCGTGTTTTCGTGGTCAAATGTTGGTGACCGGTCACGAGTTAGCTCGTATTTTCGTTAGCAGTGATCTCGTGGTGACTATTTTAAAAAGTGGGCGTAATTTTCCTTACTTTTCACGTTTTACTATTTAATTCTCTACCAATTTATTATAACTTTACGAAACCCGATATTTTCAAAACTTGTGGTGTACTATTACACATAGGTGATCGTTAACTTTTTATCAAACGGCATTAAAAATTAAAAATTTTTACAGTTTATTTAAATTGTTTTACTTCCACATCCGCTTTTAAAACAATGGCCAGGCACATGGGGTAACTTTCAGAAAAGTTGCCGGTCAGCAATGTGTTAAGAACCACTAAAATTTATTGCTACAGTAGAATATACACATAAAAATCAGTAAAGTTATTTTTACGAAACAATTAAAAGTAAGAATCATTAATTTAGATTGCACATGCATAGTAATTTTTAAAATAAAATTAGTTTGTAAATCAAAGACACGCTTGACGAAGCAAATATATTAGCCTCTTCGAGACGGAAATTGCTACAATTTGCTAAAATTAGAGGGATTCCCCATCGATTTTCCAGGCTACACTGACTAATGAAATTTAGGTGACAAATCATCACAAAAAAAGGTAGAATAGAAAACTGACAGTAGTTGGCTTTTGTTAATATGGATTGTAGAGAATTTCCTTCCATGTTTGTTGCGTAGAATATTGTCTACAATGAATAATATAGGTGCTGAAATGATTTAAAATTCGATTAATTAAGTCATAATTAAATGGTTAAATTTACTAACTTAATATCTTAAATATTCCAGAACTATCACACGTTTAAACGGAAAAAATTTTAATGTATGCTGTTATGAAAAAAGTTCTTAAACACTGAAAATATTGACAGCTAGGCAGTCGAAATATTATTTAAAAATAATTTTAGGCCTGCCAACTTGCTACGCTTTTTGCGCAAACTTAGTCTAGTGGTAGCTAAATTTATGTTTTAATGCAGGGCCGGATTTACGTATAAGCTAAATAAGCTGTAGCTTGGGGCCCCGAGATGGCAAGGGCCCCCAGATCCAACTTTTTCCTTCTTTTTTTTAAAGTTTTATTCGGAGCTGGAGCCCTCTGAAGCCTAAAATACATTTTTTTTCTTTATTACATTGGAGAACGCTTTTCAAAATCTAATAGAAGTGTTTACAAGTATAAAATAATTGTTACTTTTTTAACCAAAAGAGCAATAAAAAGGCCTTTTGACTCATGAAAATATCCTGTAGCTACCAGTGATGGAAGTAGTCCATGGATCCTTAAAAGCTTTACTCCATGGAGTAGTCAAATAACCGCCTCAATTTACGCTGTGGGAAATGTTTTCAGCTTCTTTAAATTGCTGTGGGCTCTTTTGTCTACAGAAACACCCTTTTGTCTGATTTCTGGGCAAAAAGTTTCTAGGGATGTGGGAGAATCTTGTTTAGGGTCACTCTGTTTCGAGATTTCCGTTGTGTCTCATTGTCGTTTAATTTTAACTTTTCTTTTTTGCAAAATATATGTTTTCCAATTAATACAAAACCTTTTTTTCTTTCTAATTATCCTAAATGTTTTAACTAGCTTAATTGTTTAATTTACTTAATTATTGTAATTGATTTTAATTTGTTATTTTCCAAATTAATCGTACATGAATCCGTGAACTCCTTTCTTTATTTATTTAAATGGTGGGCCACTATTCAATTCCCTCTTTGACAGGCCTATCTGCCAAAATTCTTGATTTGGTTTATTTTGGATGAAATTGAGATAACAGATGTGGTTTTACTTTAATTTTACTTACTGCTAATAGACAGAAGCAACATGTGATA